CGGCGAGTTGGCAAGTCAACTCGGCGAGTCGGGTCAACTGGCAGTTGACTTTGACTTTGACTCTTGGGTGGTTAGGGGTAAATGGTCATTTTACCCTGAGGTCAGTTAGCAGTATTTGACTAAGGGTTTTGTGGGAATTATAGCCGGAGGATTTTCGGAGCGGCAGCAGCAGAAGACAGTCAGTTCCCACGCAGATCAGCAGCTACTTTGAGGTGAGTTACCTTCCAGTAGCAGTGGGTCTACGGCCACAATGTCGACCCACCAGTAGGATTGTATGATAGATGTTTGTCTCTGTGATATTCATCTAGGATTGCTACTACATGTGATATGCTAATGTGCTAGTATGATATGATGATATGTGCTAGTGATAGTAGGGGAGATAGTCCCCAGTATACCGGTCTATAGGGCCGAAAGGGCGGTCATGCCCAACCATATTAGATAGATTATGAGATATATGTGTTATGTGGTAGTAGTAGGGGGATGAAATAGTCCCCAATATCCGGTCGAGAGGACCGAAGGGGAGACCAACACCCAGATATGCTAGTCAGTATCCGGTCGAGAGGACCGAAGGGGGGGAGGGGGCAAGTTCCCAGATATACTGGTCAGTATCCGATCGAGAGGACCGAAGGGGAGGCCAGCTCCCAGATATCCTAGACAGTATACGGTCGAGAGGACCGAAGGGGCAGGTCGAGCACCCTGATATGCCTGACAATATATGTATGTTATGTGATTGTATGGTATGTGGTATGTTGGGGAAACTCACTAAGCTTCGTGCTTACAGTTTTCAGTTTTGGTTTCAGGTACCTCTTCTTCGAAGGGGGAAAGAGCTGGCGCGCTAGCGACCCATCACACACATGCTCTGTATTCTGCACTATGAGATCTTCTGGGGATTTGTACTCTGACATTATTATGTTTTATGAAAATGTTTTTCCAGACATGCGATATCTTTATAGAATGTTATGATCGGTGAATGTTTTATTTCGAATGTTTTGCTAAGTATATGTTTTTAAAAATGAAAATTTTGGCTCGTATTTTTGGGATGTTACAGATTTGTTTCAGGTATATCTAAGCCCAAGGGCACGTGCAAAGCGTAATATTTTGATTTTATTTTTTTAGAATACCATCCATGCTTATTGTTACATATTTAATTTGTTAAGTAATATTTTGATAAGTTGGATTGTTACATTTTTTATTTGTTAAGTAATATTTTGTTTTTATTTTTTTAGAAGACCATCCATGCTTATAGTTACATATTAAATTTATTTAATTTTATTGTTAAATAATATTTACTTTAAAAATATTATTTATGCTTAAAAATAATGGAAAAAAAATATAAAAGGCTATATAAAATATTTCACAAAACAAAAACATATTTATTAATTAAAAAGTAAAGTTTAAAATTGATCAATATTTAATTAATATTTAGGAAATAATTGATATTATAAAAAACGTTTGAAAAAAATAATACAAACAAATACAAAAAAATAAAAACATTATTAAAAGTGGGAAAATATGTTATCAGGGTAATTAATTTTTCGTTTTGCTCACATTTTGACAATTTTTTTTGTATATATTTAACTTGTTAATTTGTTCATATTTTACTATTATCACATATTATAGCCGGTGATAATAGCAATATGTGAATACGTATAACAAATTAAATGGTCAAATGTATACAAAAATACAAATAGTTACCTAAATGTGAACAAATCGACAAAAATGATTGTCTAATAAGTCATTTTCTCATGAAAATATGGTATATAACTATATAAATAAATTTCTCTTTTTTCCGTGTGGGTAGCATAAAATTCCGTAAATGTCACTTGCAAAATTCTCTAAAACTTATATGAAAATATTTTGTATTTTTCCGCTTTAAGTAATATGATTAGTTTATTTAATTTTCTCACTTATTATATTCGTTTGGTTTGAAAGAACAAAATATCCAAATTTCCATTTTATTATATAACTGAAAACGTAAACGAAATTCAATTGATTTTTTTCATATTTGTTATATGATTTATTAAATTGTTTCTTATTTTTATGCTTATAAATATTTCTACCCACTAATATTATGATACATATCATCATTCTAGCATTCAATTTAATTTAATTTGATATATTTCTAATATACTCTTAATAAGATAGTTTAAAATATATAAAATTATGACACTTATAATTATATTAGTGAGTAGGAATATTTGTACATCTAAAATATAATTAACAATTTAATTTCCCTTGTTATTATATATAATGGAAAACTTAAACGAAATAAAATTGATTTATAGAAAAGTAGATTGTATTTTTGTATATAAACTTTGAGCCATCTTTAAGCGTAATCTATAAAAACAAATAACAATACTAAAATAATTCTTACCGACTTATTCACAAACCAAACCTTAGTGGGTTTAAAGAGGCAAAAGTTCAAGGCAGCCAAAAATACTCTAAACCCTAACAAAACCCTAGTGTTATTATTCGTCTGCTACTCTGCTGTCAACAAAATGCGACCTCCAAGAGGCGGCGGTTTCGGTAGTCGGGGTCGTGGTGGCGGCGGCTTCAGGGGCGGCAGGGATGGTGGAGGCCGATTCGGAGGTGGCCGTGGTGGAAGAGGTGGCGGTGGTGGTCGTTTCGGTGGTGACCGGTTTAACGAAGGCCCCCCTGAGGAAGTTGTAGGTTTGTAATCACCTCCTTCCTCTCTTTAACAATGCTTAAAAAACCTAATTTACACATTTGATCCGAATGACGTTGATTATCTTGTCAACGTATGTGTTGTCGAGCTCAAACAAGTGAACAGACACCTTCATTTATGCCGTTGCATTTTTAAACATTCGAACTGCATGTTTTTATAGATCCGATTAGTTTGATCTGTTAATCTGAGATTTTGACTCTGAATTCAATTGTGCAGAGGTTTCGTCATTTGTTCATGCTTGTGAGGGAGATGCAGTGACAAAGCTCACGAATGAGAAAATACCTTACTTCAATGCCCCAATTTATCTTCAAAATAAAACTCAAATAGGCAAAGTTGATGAAATCTTTGGTCCAATCAATGAATCAGTGAGTGAGACTTGATCATTCGCCATTATCGTTGATGTTTTAGTTAAAAGCTGGTGTTTTTTTGTACTAATATGTGTTCTTCTTTCTGCTTCAATTTTTAGTTCTTCTCAGTTAAAATGATGGAAGGTATTGTAGCAACTTCTTATGGTGCTGGTGATAAGTTCTACATTGACCCAATGAAGCTATTACCATTAGCCAGATTTCTTCCACAGCCAAAGTATGTTTCTTTTCAATTAATTGTTATATTGGATTTGGTGTTATCTTGTTTGTGGTTTTTGAGGTTTGAATTTACAGGGGAGCACAAAGTGGTGGAAGAGGAGGTGGTCGTGGGGGTGGAAGAGGAGGTGGGCGTGGAGGTGGTGGTTTCCGTGGCAGAGGTGCTCCGAGAGGCGGCAGAGGTGGTGGCTTTCGTGGTGGTGGTGGGCGTGGTGGTGGGTTCAGTAGGGGGCGTGGGAGATTTTGATGTGTCTTTTATTTTATGTAGTTCACTTATCCATTGTAGTTTTGATTTTTTTTCTTGGATTTCTGTTTATGACATTTCTGATCTTTCATTTGGAAAATGATGTTTGACCATTTAAAACTGTCTCTATACATATTTCCTGTAACTTAACTGAAATCATGTTAAATTATTATGCATCTTTTTTATAAAATGGGAATCCTTGGATTACTGAAGTATGTTTTTATAAATCATGATATATATTATCAAGATACTATGTATAAAACTCAAATTATTCGTGCAACCACATATTTGGAAAAATGATATGTTCATTCTACATATCTTTTCTGTATCACAAAGTTATTACCATAGACCGAAGAATACTCGTTGATTTATAAAGATTATTTCGACAACATATATCACTCATTGAATTTGGATCGGTTTTGCGGTAACTAGATATTGGCTTATTATACCGGACACTCCTTTTCTCATTGCAAACACAGATAATGTTACCGTTCATTTTCTAAGCAAAAAAGGTTCATCCACGTGTTTTTTGTTATGTTTTGGTTTGCAAGACATCCTAAATCATGTAGATGTTATTGTCATTGTTCATAGTGGTCGTTATGTTTCTATTTCTAAGGAGACAAGTTTTCGCCGGGAATAGTTTTTCGATATATATTCAAATCAAACATACTCTAAGGGTGGGGGCTTGGTTGTTGGACATGAAAGATATAGACCAGGATATAAGTTGTAGATGATGGATTGGTCATCTCTTTAGAATAGCATATAAGAGGTGTAAGTAAAACCGCAATAAAAAATCATAGTATAAGGAGGTGTTTGAGATTGCTTTTTAACAGCATAAGTCCTTTTTGTAGGACTTTTTGAAAAAAAAAAAAAAAAAACTATTTAAAATGTGTTTGGATTAACAAAATAACTTTTGGTGTAATTTTTACATGTAAAGTTACAAAAAATCAGGTTTTTGTGACTTTTTGAAACGTCTCCTTTTCTTCTAGAGATCGAATTACTAAAATAAAAAGTTAAAAGATCAAAACTATAGACTATTACAAACCAAATAGGTCATATGTGTAACTTATAATAATAATAATAATAATAATAATAATAATAAAACAAGTAATAAAATATCAAATCATGGATTCTACTAATAAACTAAGCCAGTTTCTTATCATATACTGTCACGAAGTATCCATGTTTAAATAACTTTTTATGAAAAAATTTCGCATGCCAAAGTTTGTTTTTAGAATGAACAAAATTCACATTTACATCGAGTACAAGTTTCTTACCTCTAGATGGATCTTTACTTGACCTCAAATTTGTCTAATATTATACAACTATACAAGTGGAGTGCTAAAAATATCTTGCATTATTGCATGATGCATGTACTATCTTAATAAAAGTATTGGTATTGCCCATACTTGTCCTCTTAGATTTATATGTGTATTTTTCAAATTTTAATAAATGAAATGATGACTTTATCATAGTACAAGAAAATATCACCCACGCTAACAAACTGTATATAATTTAATAAAAAGAAAATACAAGTAAACAACATAATAATAACAAAATAAAATAATTATCAATGCACCATGTTTCAGAGTCACAAAACATGGTACCCAAAAACCCAACTGAATTTCAATTTTTCAGCATCACATTTCAAATTTCAAAACTAAAATTACAAGTTACAACAATGGAACAACAAACAAGAAGATCATATACCTCTTCTTACTCAATCTCAACAACTTAAAACCCTAAATCCCATCATCCTCAATCAAACCCAATAAAGAACACGATTCATCTTATCTTTTGTTGCTAAATCCAACTCAACTCAACCACACTTATTCCAATTCTTCATTTACTCTGCGTTCTCCACCATTTCCATTTTCAAGATTCCTAGCTGCTGATTGCTGCTTCTTATTATGTTTCTTAATCTTAGCTTTCTTAGCTTTCATCCTACGTTTCTTCTCATTAGCATCCACCCACATGTAATCAGATGGAATATTAAACGGATCTGTTTCATCTCTAAAGCTGCTGCTAGCTTCATTGTCGCTTGATTGACCTCCTCCTTTCATCCATGAGATCCATGAACCTGATCCTTCTGCTTCTTTGGATTTATTAGCATCTTGGAAATGAGCTGGACTTGATAGAGGAGTTGAAAATTCCTCCGATGGAGGTTGTAGCTCCTCGAATTTTGTAAATGTTACAAGAACCCTAATTGTTGGTACAATTGGAATTGCAATCTGCAATAACAGATAGAGATCATGATCCCATTAAATTATGTTTTTGTCATACAAACTTCCAATATTCCCTAATTTACTTTTTCCTTCAATTTTCCCAAGTACACTGTTATTTCCCCAAATATTCTTTGAACAACTTTTTAGTAACAACATTAAGAAGGAAAGGGAAATTTGCAAAAAGTTATGACTTAATGGGAAAAGCCTCGTTTTCCTGTCTTTCTCTATTAAGTCGTTCTTTCTACTTGAAAAGCAATGTTATGCATAAGTAAAGACAAAAAACAATCTATAATCACATTACAAACTAAAGAAAAACAGAGCAAAAGATTATACCTTGACTGGAAACATGCCTTGAGGTAGTTTAGTAGTTAAAAGCTCCCTTAATCTCCTTATGGCCTTAACCTTATTAGCTAAAATATCAAGTAAAGGCAAAAGCTCATCCGTTTTCAATGGAAAATCAGGTGTCAACCATAAAACAGGCCTCAACCCTTTTTTATACTCACTTTCATGCTTACCCTCTGTCACAGATCCTTTCTTCTTTTTCTTCTTACCACTCTTATCTTTCCCCTTTTTACCCTCCCCATTGTCCTCAGATGAAGACTTTTGTTGACTATCATTTAACTTAGAAAACTTCTTTAAAATCTTTGAGTCCTCATGATCATCATCACCTCCACCTCCAGTTTTTGAACCTTTCTTGTTCCAACCAAACCAACCTTTTTTATCCTTTGTTACACCATTTGATTCAATGTTTCCAGATGAACCCGTATGACCATTTTCATGTTCTTCATCATCACAAATCCCATCTGGATTCCCTCCCTTTAGGGCTGAATCCAGTTGCATTTTTTCTTCAGGTGTCAAAACATCATCATATTCATCATTTCCAGTTACCCTTTCGTGATCATTTGTGGAAAAAAGCTCTTCATCTGTCATGGCACCAGGAACCCTTCTTGATTTCACACTCACCATCACATGAAGCATATCAAAAACCTTGCTTTTCCATGGGCCCACAACTTCTGTTCTTTCTTGTCGCCTCCAATTCAAATGAGGAACAAGTTCAGCTTGTGTAACATCGATTCCAGGTCTATACATGTTTGTTTGAGACATTAATGCAACTTCATGAGCAACTTCAGATTCAGAAGGCTGTGCTCCAGCTCCCTCTAATGCGTTTGTGATTTCTTTTTCTTTATGAGAAAGAACGATTAAAGAACCAGGAGGCAATGAGACTTTACCATCTTCAGAACAAAACCCATCTCCTAAAAACATGAAAGTCTGATCAGATCTTTGGATTCTAAACCCATCAAATCCAGCAAGAGTCATATCAGCTCGAAGATTCGACCCACGTTTCCAAATCCTGTAAGTATCAGAAGGAGCGATTCTGCCTATAAACGGAATCACAGAGCTTTCAAAATGGAATGTTATTTCCATGTAAAAATCACGAATCCGGGAAGCAGAAGAGGTGATACGAGGGAGCCTACGACACCATTTAGCCCATGCGAGAGGCTGATAATGTCTAGCGATGATCATGGCTATGTTTTCTTCCCGATTACACACAGCTTCTTGAAGTGCACTCCATCCATTTTCGTTTTGAAGACTCCAATCTGCTCCAGCCGCCATTAAAATCTCGGCTGAAATCGGATCTTTCAGACGAACAGCTAAATGAAGAGGGGTTTCGCGGAATGGAACATCGCGGCGGTCGATTACGGCTGAGACGGCATCGGCATCTGATTCGGCGGCTATTGATTCGGCTTCGGTTGTAACATCGCCTGCTTTTGCTAAGCGAGGGAGGATTGAGATAATGTTCTTGAGGGCTGTATGGTCACCTCGTACTACAGCTAAATGTGCAGGACTATGGGAATACTTTGACCAATCTTCCATTTGAATCTTTGTGTTCATCTACAAATTCTTCCGTAGCATGCTCAAACTCTCTTGCTCAATCTAAAAACAAAAAGTAAAGTGAAGTATAACACCGATAATAAGTTAGATAATTCGACTAAGAAAACAGATCCGTCTTGTTTTTTAAGAAATTATCCCATTACTGAAACCTAAAATCGAAATACTTGACTAGAAATCCAGAAAAAAAACTGAGATGGGTTTTGGTAAAGATTGATACTTTTCAACATAGTTTAGCTCGAAGAGAAAAGAGAAAGAAGAAATTAGCAGAAAGATAGATACCTCTAGGAGTTGAATCGATCTAATGGGTTTTCTTGAATGAGAACTAAAAGGGAAAAAGCGAAAAGCTTTCAGAAGGTCTATCTATGGCGATGCATATGGATCGTCATGTTGGCAACTCACTGACCGAAATCAGATCTCGATTTTTTTTTTCTCTCTCTCTCTCTCTCTCTCCTTTTTTATAGAACAGACGAGTGTATAATGTAATTACTCTAACTCTAAACTCAAAGTAAGAGGGGTGGTTTTCTTCTTTATGGTGATTTTTGCAGACGATTTTTGTTCAAATGGAACAAGGAAACTATGAAAGTGGGCATCTATCTTCCCTTTACTTTTTATATTTCTTTTTTACTTTTTGTTGTTCTTATTTACCCTCTTTCAAGTTTCAAGCTACTCTCTCTCTTCACTCTGTATCTCATGTGGTGCTGATCCTGACACAGCGTGGCAATAAAGAGTTGTTTTTTTGTGATTTGTGAAAGCCAATGTGTTAGTGTTACAACTAATAATCTAAAAGTATTAATATAGATGCCCTTTTGCTTTTTATTCTTTCAAATTTTCAACATTACTTTTGGTGTTTCCAACTTATGCTAATCATATATTTAGATTACTAGACTAAATATGGTTTGGTTTGGTATCAAAGTTATGGGTCTTTTGTTACTTTTTTGAATTATATGAATATTTTATTACATGATCACACAATATATTTATATATATAATGACATTTTGTTTCACAAACTTCTAATCACAAAAGTAACCAAACTTGGAATATATATAAATAAAAAGAAAAGGGAGACATCACATTGGAATTATGCTTCAAGATCTAGAGATTATTCTGTAAATTTTTGTTCCTTTGTGTTTAGTTTACAAGAGTGGATTCTTGGTTATAATCGTTTATCGTATATTGATTGATACAAGTATTTTTTTATTTTTTAGCATTGATTTTGAAAGTACATTCTTTTTAATAAAAACGGACTAAAGATAATTTCTTTTACTGTTTTACATACAATACAATTGACCCTTTTTGTTTAAAAAGAAGAGGTGAAATGGAATTTATATTTTTATTTTGACATTAACAACAAAGACATTCAATTTCAAACATATTAAATACAAACACTAGACCCCATCCAGAAAATGTTTGATGCACAAATTGTATAAAAAGAAAAAACATAAAACATCTATTTGTAGAAGTCAAAGTCAAAGTCAAACAGAGCAACTATTCAAAGGGCACTACTAATAAATGCTTCCAATTAAAGCACCTCAACCTCAAAACAACATCATCATCATCTTCTTCCATTCACCATTCAACTGCAACAACACCACATCATATCATCTACATCCTCCTTCCTCACCCACTAATCCCAAAAACTTTACACCCTTCTATCACCCACAAAGCTTAAATTAAAGAATTCTTCAAGTTCATTCACCTTTCATCCAAAAACATCGATAAGGATAAGATCCAAGATATGTGATGAAGGTGGTAAAAAAGAGGGTAAGTAAGTCACCTTAAAATCAGAAAGGGGCTTCAAGAGATTCATCCCAGACATCTGCGCTACCATTAGAGGCATCTTCAGCATCTTCCTCCATTGAAAGCCGTATGTATTCCCGATGTGCAAACCGGTCCCACTCTGTCAATGTTGGATTCTCACGTTCTTGACGTATCAGAAACGGATCACGTGTTTCAAATGCCATGAATTTGTTCAGATTAAAAAGGATATTGAAAACACTTCCTGCAAGTTTGCTTCCTTTCATATCACCCAATGTAAAATACCCTTCATCCTACACACCAAACCATATTATTATTAGTATTAAAATACTCAAAGCAAACAAAATTAACACTAGTTTATTTATTGCCTTTGGTCCAATCATGTCGACTATTTGACACAAAATGTCTTCAAAAAGAACAGGCTCTTGGGCCATGCATTCCATTCGATGCAACTGTTCTTCATAGAAGAATTGCATTTCATTCCTTGTAATCACACCGTTTGCATCTAAATCTACACACTTGAACCTGAAATCAAATCAAACAAAACTTATTAATAAATAATTCTAATTCTAAATCTAAATCAATCATGAAGAAAGGTAAGTACAGTAGTACCAGTATTCCAGACTTGGCTCTGATGATTTATCTTCTTCGGATAAAATGAAATAAACAAAATCTTCATATCCCATTTTTCCTTCAACATTACTGGTGAACTTTCTGGGTACCTGAGAGAGAGATAAGAGATTGATGGAGAATTAAAAAGAAAAGCAGAAGATAGAAAACAAAAAGAAAAAAGATTAAAAAGAAACACAAACCTGTGAAAATATTCTGTCAACAATTCTGTATGTGAGTGCATGATTACCATATCGTATAAGGTTCTCTTTATCTATCAAGAAATCATGATCCGTGTCCAGCTCCCAGAATTTGCAATAAATTACATAGAAGTGCTCATAAGAGAAATATCTGTAACCAAAAATAATGAATTATAATACTAATCTAGTAAACAAAGATGATGATGATGATGATGATTATTACCTTAAAACTTTGTTAATGTCCTCTTCTTCATCTGCATGCTGCATTGCAGCAACTAAATTTCCACGTTTGAGTTCTCTAAGGGTAAGACGTGAATCACCTGCTCTATTCATGTAGTAGAAAATTCTGTATATAACCGTTTCAGCTGCTCATCACAATTCACACCAAACCAATCATAAACATTATTTTATATCAATAATTACAACTCCAATGTTTTTTTTTTTTAAAAAAAAAAAAAGATTAAAGCAACTAAGATCATGTGATTGGACATTCACGCGTGATTTCATTACTCTTCTATGTTCATTTGCTAAAGTAGATGCACACCAAGTTATTGATTTATCAGCATTGTTTATACTTAATTATGAAAGTTAAGGGTTTGAGCATCATGTTATGTTTGAAGTAAATAAGATATTGATAGAAACATAACATACCATATCTCTCCTGAAATTCGGGTGTACTCTGTAAGAACTCCAAACCTGGATGAGTTGCCAATAGTTCCCGAAGTATGGGTTTAAAATCCTCCTATTGTACAGTTTCCAAACAATCAGGTAAAAGAACACACACCTCAAAATTCAAATACATACAAGAATATCATAATTCATACTATATATAATGCTTTTCTTTTTGGAAGGAATTGATCTATCAATGTGACTACTTGCTGGTGATAATAACATTAAGCCCACAAACAAGGATGTTTTTTACATGACTTAATGGATACAAGAAAGTAAGAAATACCTGAGTGAGATATCTCAAATCAGGCTGTTTCAATATTGTATATATTTGGGTTGCAACATCTTTTATCAACATGTTGCCATTCACCCAATAATCAACAAACGCATCCCTGCAGCCATGTTAAATAGCTCAAATACAAGATAATAACATCAAACACAACTTTTTTTCAAAGAAAGGATACCTTGTGACAACACCAGTGCCATCAACATCAATCTTTTTAAAAAGGGCAGTGGAGAAGAAGGAAGGCAGTTTGCAAATTTCCTTAGTAAGCAGTTTGAATTCATGCAGTTGTAATCCATCTGGATGACCATAGAAAAACTGGTTGCTTTTAAGCAAGCATCTTTCTTTAAGTTCATTAGGAGGAGGAGGACCATTCTGAAAGTAAAACTGAGGAATCAACTCTTTAACTGGCTCACTCAGTACTTTTAAAGGAGACCCTAAAACAGAAGGACCTGCCCTCTGTTTTGTGATCCGAGGAGAACCAGATGAACTTCTTGGTGAAAGTGGAGGTGCACTTCCAGCAGGAAACATGGAAGGTATTGAGTTCATGGAAGAAGCTTTTGGGCTTGAAACTGATCCACTAACATTTAATGGAACACCTGCTTTAGCATTGTTGAACAATGATTTCACCTACATCCATTCACACACAAAATATCATCACCGATTTCATTTCTACACAAGTGTTTTGTAAAAAGCATAACACATGCTTTCAGAATCAACATGGTAACAAGACTGAAAGTGAACTTTGGACACTGAAACCAAAGTTTAGTAAAAGACTATTAAAGTAAAGACCTCATTGATTGTGATTACAAACCTAAGCAACAATTTCTACTAGTAAACTAATTAGACAATGTTCCAAGTCTTGTTTGTTTATGCCATTATTGTCTTTCCTTCAACATCCCTATTTCATAACACATGGTGTGCCTAACATAGCCAACCGACATTTAATGCATGTAAGCCTTCCAAACATTAGGCAAAATACGGGTTTCCAATTGGTGTATGCAGTTTTTGTAAAAGGTTAATGTGTTAGCTCACTCAAGTGACTTAGATGAGATAACTGTTGATCAACATAGTAAAGGGCATTGAAATTCAGAATCTATCAGCAGCCACTTTGCCACCTTAGTCTAGCTACATCTTACAGAAACCAAACAACAGCTAAAATGTACTAAGATGAAGAAAACATCAATAAGATACAGTAATTAGGGACGATAAGAAAGATAAGTCATATAGTATTACCAAAAGAGTTGTTTCCGGAAGGGAAAGCCATTGCTCGAACAGCTTCTCGGCAACATAAGGATTTGACTTAAGAGCCAAAGGAGACACTTCATTCAGCTGTAACAATTCAGGGTCAAGAAAACCCGCATCCCCATTATAATCCATGTCCATCTTTTGCAAATCAATTTCTTTATCGGCCTCTGAATTCAGAATCTATCATCCAGATCTCAAATTGAAAACCCGAGACGATCACTTAACCCTAGTAAACCAATAATAAAAAACAAAAAAAGCGAACCCTCTTCACATCAATCAATTTCGTAGAGCTTCGTGTGTTTTATCCCTTTCAAATCAAATAAACTTGCATTCGGTCCCGCCTCCGAATTGGAAATGACAGGAATCTAGGAGTTTACGGAGGTAGGGGCAACAGATCCTGGAAATCTTGCAACCCTGGAAATTGGAATTGGGTTTGTTGTTTGAATTATGTTAGATAAGATCGGTGGGGTGAAGTGAAGGGTGGAATGAAGATTCTTTGCATGAGCAAGATTGGGAAGAGATAGAGAGAGAGTGTGTAAAACTTTATGTATAAAATATGGGTGTGTATAAGAGCACCTGAAGTGGGGGATAGGGGGTGATGAAGAAGAAGGGTAACTAGGCGACCCAAGGGACGAAGGTGCTGAGCCAAGTGTTGCGTTGCTTTGCGTTGCGAGACTCATAAAACTTTCAAGATTCTAACATCTATCTAATCATTTCTTTAGGTCTTGCAAGATTTTAAAATAATTGAGTGGGATTCACAATAATGATGATTGTAACTAAAGCTTGTTTATGAAATAAATTTTATATTTTTATTGAGGTCAAAATAACGTTTGGTTCTTAAGAGTGGCTCGGCAACATTTCGACATGAGTTGAGGTTGTTTCGATGTATATCCCGTCTTGACATAAATATGTTGAGCTTGACAGTGAAACTCGGTAACGGCTAAAATAGGAGAGAGAATATTCAAATTAAAAACCAATTAATTTTTTACCAATTTTCAAAAAAGATTATCCGGCTTTTTCAACCAAAATTTAAATTTTTAATCCTCTTTCAACTGATATAGATATCAACATCTATCCAATTTTGTATCACACCACGATTTTGAGTATTCTCCATATTTCACTCAAACATTCTTCTTATTTTGGTGAAAATGGTTTCCTCCAACCAAAACATTTCAAGTTGAACCAAAAAAAAAAATACCCAAAACACAACCACTTCAAACCCTTCATCACCCGTCTTCTACCAACCTCAAATGGATCGCATTACAGTTTCACCCTTACTTTCTATTATTCTGGTGTCGATTCATACTACAATTCATATCCTAGTCAATTTCATCCTCGATTCTAATCTCAACCCCAATTTCAATCTCAATCTCAATTACAATCCCAAAGTGATTTCACCCTATTTGAGAACATTCTAGAAACCCAATTCCAATTTCACTCCAACCCTAATTTCAAGCCTATTCCTAACCCTATTTCCAAATCCAATCTCAAACCTAATTACAATCCTAACCTCAACCACATACCCAAAATAGATTCTGAACCCAATAATGTTCAATGTATAAACGTAAAAACAAAATATCAAGCAATAAAGAACAATAAGTAATCAAAAACCAATTGTGATTAAGAACTCTCACAAAGAGAGAATGCACAAGGTGGCTTATTTTACATTCAACCCTACTATAACTTATATACTATGGTAAAACTATTCTAGAATCTGTTGGAAAATATAAGTTAGACAAGGGGAGTTTGGTAATTATCTATTAAAATAGTATTTATTATTAGTATTTATGGTATTTATTCTAGACCGATTAGATCGAACAATTGTGTTGGTTTGAATGGGTTTCATTTGACCGATGCATTGGTTGGGATAGTAACTGTCATTTGACAGTTTAGGTCTATATATAGTACGTGTCCATGTAATGTTCTGTTGTTGCAGTAATTAATAATGAATTGTGTTCTATGTACAAGGCAACCAGTCTTCTTCATTGTTTTCTGTTAAACTCCTCCAAATTTTGTGTTTTTATTTGATTTGTTTCCAAAAAGTGGTATCAGAACCTGGTTTGTACGTGTCGATTACAACAACTAAAAAACAGAAAAGAGTTTATCCTGATGACTTCAACAAGTTTACATGGGGTGCACTCTTAGATGTAACGCCCTAAACCAGGTATGACTTGAAACCCTCGAATAATTCCTATTTTAACATAATTGGTCCATTGAGTACACTACGCATACTTATGAGTACGCTTAACGTACTCTACATGATTGATCGCGGAGGAGCCGCCCATACGTTGGGCGTACGTGTTGTAGCACCCGGTTCCTGGTATGTATTTTCATTCAAGTAATTATAACATTTTATCCTGGGACTCGGCGAGTTAAAGGTCCAACTCGTCGAGTAGAATCAACTTTGGACACGGGAGTTTAGTGGCCTACTCGGCGAGTCGGCAAACCGACTTGACGAGTAGGCGCTGTTTGGATAAAACCCTAAATTTGAGGGATTGCACCCTATTTAAACGTCTTAATGCAGCCTTCATCGTCCCTTATGTTAACAGAGCACCTCATACTGAAACCCTAATCTTTTTATGAAGATCTAAGGCCCTTTTTGGTGATTTTGATAGTTTGTGATCACAAGAAAGAAGGAAAAGCTTGAGAAGCCAAGAGGAAACCAGGAGATTTTGAGTTTGTGCAGAATCTACAGTTCCTTAGAAGTATAAAGCTTATACCTTGTTCATTCATGTTCTAGATCCTTTTTTGGAGTGAATTAGGGCTTTTAGGAACCATTTTTGGTGACCAATAATGAGTGCAAGCATGATTGGGGGTTAAGATTCCAAATCCAGGGTCCTTAGGGGACTACATGGCCTAAAGTGGCCAACTTTGAGAGCCACATGCACCTTTAGACCTCATTTTTGTGTCCATTAAGCTTATACTCCCATGCATGCACGTAAAGTTCATAACTTTACGTGCTAGATCGATCTTAAAAGCCCATATCTGTCTTTTGGATGAGTGTTGTACATCAGAAATCGAGATATAAGACTTGGATAGCGCTGACTCGTCGAGTTGTTCTTGGAACTCGTCGAGTCCAGGGCTTGAGTCCCCCGTCTGTTAAGGTTCAAAGGAACCCAGTTGAGTGTTAGAAGGGTCTTGGAAGGGTCCAGAGGAGTGACTCAACATACTAGACTTAGCCATAGACCTGAGAATCATAGGACTCGGCAAGTGCATGAACAGACTCGGCGGGTCCAATGCAATCTCCCAACCCTTTGAAGATAAACTCGACGAGCTGTTCATACAACTTGGCAAGTCGCAAACTGGACATATTCATAGGATGAAGGTGAACTTGACGAGTTGTTCATACAACTCGCCGAGTCGGATGAAGGTTCATTCGATGATATTATAGAAGGAAAACTCGGCGAGTCTTTACTAACGTCGACGAGTGAAGTTAGGAAGGGGTCAGATGAAAAAATAGGGACTCGGCAAGTTGGCGGCCCAACTCGGCGAGTCAGGTCAATTGCGAGTTGACTTTGACCAGGATATTAACTTTAACCAGGGGTAAAATAGTCATTTTACCCTAAGAGTAGTTATCAGCTTTGTTGGATTAATATCTAAGTCCATAACTATATTTGGTATGTACTTGACCTGACCCGGCATGGTCCATTTGGGTTGCATGGCATCATGCACTTGGATAAACTAAATGAGAGAAATAAGACACTTATGGTTATTAATATATTATAAGTTCTAATATATTAATAATAAGAATACTAATATTTAAGTAGTATTGATCAAGAATTAATTTAGAATTAATTTTGTGATCAAAAGAAGACTAGTTAAATATATGGGTTGATTGTGTAAATCATCCATAAATTATATAGTGGGCCAAAGCTCTATGGATAATCAAGTTGAGTTAAACCCATAGGATGCTCCATGGAGGTTACATAACCCATGGGTCATGGAAATGAAAGGTCATGACAATTGGGGTTTACATGGTGTAACCCTAATTGTAACACACTATATAAGCATCATATTATTCACCAAAATTGCCCATTAGTGTGTGTAAAAGAAGGGCTAGCCTAATTCATGAAGTGTGGATTTCTCTCTAAGTTATTCCAATAGCATTTGATGTTGTGTGAGCCATTTGAGGTGTCACATTTGAGGAACTAGGCACTCAAGCCCCATGGAGTCAAGCTACACTACAAGAGGTATGTATTCTATCAATATTATTACCCAAGTATCTATGATTGTATGCTAGATAGGGTAATACCTTGGAATATTAGTATTTGCATGTATATTAGAGAAAACATAGATCCAAGGTATTTAGGGTTGCATGTACACCATAGGAGTGTTAGAATGCTCAAAACCCAACAGTGGTATCAGAGCCTAGGCTTGTTTTCTTGTTATACTTGCAAAATTGGCTGAAAAATCAAAGTTTGGAGCTGTTTGCACACTAGACTCGCCGAGTCCATGAAGGGACTCGACGAGTCCAAGGCAAAAAGCATCCAACTCGTCGAGTTGGTTCGTGCACTCGACGAGTTGGACCCCCTGACAACATATATTCGATTGTTTTGGCTGGAATTGGACGAGAAACATTACCCTAAGATGTTTGTGAACTTATAAACTTGTTTTTGATGTGGTAATGTTCATACTAATCCAATTCCAAAGATAATTGTCAATAGATTCATGTGTTGTATTAGTTTAAAAGTTATGCTAATTACATGAAAAAGTTTGATGTGTATTGTCTTTGTTCATATGAGTTGCTTAAACTACTAGATAAGTTAATTGATTATGTGTTTTCAATCCATTTTAATCTAAGAGAAGATTCTAAAATGTGTTTGTGTAACGTGTCCTCAAGTTACATGAAAGGTCACATTTAAGTTTCTTAAAACTCATAAAAGATGGCAAAGGTTACAAAATGAAGAGTCTTGTTCTCATTAAATGGTTTTATGACTCCATAACTTGTCCTCAAGTTATGGAGGTTCAAAAGTCACTTCATTAAGTAAATGTGTAACCTTAATTAATTCCATAAGTTATAAAATAAAGAAAAGGTACATTCTTTTATTAGTTTAAAGTCTTCCATAACTTGTCCTCAAGTTATGGAACTTGAAGAGTCTTTTAATTAAAACTACTTTAAACACACAAGTTATGGAATTAATTAGTTTTGAATAGTTTCAAAACTTTCCCTCACATTTTGGAATTTGAAAAGTTTTCACTTATGAATACTTTAATTCCAAGTTAGCCCTTAGAATTTTAAAAGTTAAAATTCAACCTTTATACTTTATAATATTATAAGTTAATAATATATATATATATATATATATATATATATATATATATATATATGTATAAGAGTAAAGTCAGTCTTACCGTTAGTAGGCCTCATTCACGAAGCCGATCTATAAGGGAGGTATAATGTTACTGTCTATAAAATGACAGTTTAATGGGTTTCCACTCTCACCCACCGCTTCCTTGACTAGTGGAAGGTCGT